CCTCACTTTGCACGTGTCAGGATCCCACATGGGCATCAGTTCTAATCGCAGCTCCCTGCTTCCCATCCAGCTCCCTGTTTGTGACCTGGAAAAGTAGTTGAGGACGGCCCAACGCCTTCGGACCCTGCACCTGCGTGGGAGACCTGGAAGAGGCTCCGAGCTCCTGGCTTCGGATACCTGCAGCTCCGGCCATTGCGCTCACTTGGGAAGTGAATAAATAGAAGAGTTTCCTCTCTGTCTCTCCTCCTCTATGTATATCTGACTTTCTAATAATTAAAAAAAAAAATTTAAATATTAAAAAAAAATTCAATGAAAGTCTGAGTCGCAATTTCTGCTTCCTATATTTTCGTGTGGGAACTATAAACCCAGCAACCTTAAACTCATCAATACAGAGAACATAGTTTGTCCACTTTTCTTATTGGTACACTGCTACAGATGCTACTGGGAAGTATGATTTTATTCTCTATTGCTCTCCTGAAGTGGGAAGAAGTGCTGTGCTAGCAGTGCTGCAAACCTAAATACAAAAGCGATTACATCTGGCAGAGGAGTATAACCTGGATCACACGTATTCCCTCACGTGAGAACTCATGGGAGAAAATGCCCTGTCCTCACCTTCACCTGTGGGTACTTCGCTTCCTGGTAAGCAAGTTCACATTTACCTTAGTGCCCAGGAATGTCTGTGTTTGGCAAACAACTACCTGCTGGAAGCCTGCCATCTATTCCAGGTAAACCCACCTGCAGTATCACCTCAAAATGTGGGCTCGCTCAACTCCTTCATCTCTGATCTGACTCTGCCTTCCAAAAGCTGTATCCTACTTATCTTTTTTTTTTTAAGATTTATTTATTTATTGGAAAGTCAGATATACAGAGAGGAGGAGAGACAGAGAGGAAGATCTTCCGTCCAATGATTCACTCTCCCCAAGTGAGCACAACGGCCGGTGCTATGCTGATCCGAAGCCAGGAACCAGGAACTTCTTCCAGGTCTCCCACACGGGTGCACAATCGCAAGGCTTTGGGCCATCCTCAGCTGCTTTCCCAGGCCACAAGCAGGGAGCTGGATGGGAAGTGGAGCTGCCGGGATTAGAACCAGCACCCATATGGGATCCCAGTGTGTCCAAGGCACACTGCTGGGCCCCTGTATCCTGCTTATCTTTTAAAATGACTTCATTCTCGATCTTCTATGTAGTACTGGGTTTGTGTCCCAGCTGCTCCACTCCCAATCCAGCTCCCTGCTTGTGGTCTGGGAGAGCAGCAGAAGATGGCTCAGGTCCTTGGGCCCGTATACTCATGGGGCAGACTCAGAGGAAACTCCTGATTCCTGGTTTCAAATCAGCTGAACCTGAGCCATTATTGCCATCTGGGAAATGAACCAGCAGATGGAAGACCTCTGACTCTCTCGCTCTCTGTAACTCTACCTTTCATATAAAAATAAAACAAATAAGTAAATCTTTTTTAAAAAGTGAGATCTACATGAGGGGGCTTCAGAAAGTGTGCTAAAAATGTAAAAGATTATTTTAGTGTAAAACATTTTGGAATCACAGAAGACAAAACTGGCAACACATTATTAGAATTAAGAAATAAAAGTAAAATGAAAAAAGGTCAATTTGCTGCAAAAGTCAAATCAAGGTAAGTACCAATGGATTTTTTTTTTAGTTCTAGGGATTAGACACTACATATATCCACTCATATGTGGTAAGCCTATTAGAATACAAATTTGGGATTGGGAGTAGAATAGAGAAAACCCTAAATGTGTCCCCAAAATGCTCATCAGTTGCTACCCATTCCAGCCCTACCCCTCCACACAAGCCCCTTCCTACTGACAGGTGAGTCTACCCTGGTCCTCTGATTCAGGCACATGCATGACTCTCTGATGAGGAAACCACAGCACAAGTGTTATTTCACGATTTCAGGCTAGACTGTCAGACGCCCGGGACTCTGGCTTTGGTAGTCTCTGGGAATACTGTAAGAAGCCTGGTTACCCTGAGGACACCACTAAAAGAAGTGGCTCAAGTTAGTCAGATGACCAACCGGCCCTCATCTATTCCAGCCACAAGCCAGCCACCAGACACGTGATGATGTGTGAGTTACACCCCAGCTGCTTAACCGCAACCTTCTGAGTGACCCCAAAAGAAAAACTGCCCACATGAACTTAGTCAACAGAACAATTAATGTTTTAAAACACTATATCCTGAAGTAGACTGTTAGAGATAACTAAAACAGTTATCTCAGCCTTCGCCATACTTTAATGTCCAACTTTCAAATATCACAAAAACTTACCTCTTGCATTCACTACTCCCAATACTCTACTCAACACTACTACTGTTCAAGCTAACATAGCAAGAAATGTGCTAACACATATTTTAAACTGCATCCCCTCCCTGCTTTATTTTTCCTTGGCACACTGACAATACCACATATTCTAACCACTTACATATACATTTTTTTAAAGATTTATTTTTATTGCAAAGTCAGATACACAGGGGAAGGAGAGACAGAGAGGAAGATCTTACGTCTGTTAATTCACTCCCCAAGTGACCACAACAGCTGGTGCTGCGCAGGTCTGCAGCCAGAAGCCTGAACCATCCACGTAGATGCATAATCCCAAAGCTTTGGGCCATCCTCAACTGCTTTCCCAGGCCAGCAGCAGGGAGCTAGATGGGAAGTGGGGCTGCCGGGATCAGAATCGGCGCCCATATAGGATCCTGGTTCGTTCAAAGCCAGGACTTTAGCCACTAGGACACCGCCACTTGCATTATTTGTCAGGCTCTCACTGAGATCTAAGTTCCACGTCTGTTTTGTTAATTCTGCCTTCTCATACTTGGAAGACCACCTGGCACTTAGTAGACACTGAATGTCAGTTGTTAACTGAGTGAGAAAAATGAATGAATCTAGAACAAAAATGAGCCGACTGAGGATCTCTTATTTCAAATAATGAAATTATGCCTTAAAATAAAATAAGAAGAGAAACTTTTTTACAGCACAAAAATTTCCCTAAGCCCACTCACCAAAAACTCCTAAAACCTCCTTTAAGTTCTCAGTCACTACTTGGCTTACCTTGACTTCTATTTTTCAATACTAGACTTTGAAAAAAAAAAAAAGGAATATGATACAGGATATGTCTGAATTGCATCAGCAATTCAACAATAGGAAATGCCGGAATAAGGAAGTGTAGCAATATAATAATCTTACAGGCAGGCACAGTCATCAAGTCAAGCAAGTCGTGATACATTCTCCCTTCCTTTAAAGAAACATCTGAACAGAAACCAATCTGCCACCTCGTCTACCATCTTAACTTCCATTTTTGCTTCATTTGTTTTATTCCCCAGACAATACGGACTGCATTGGTTCAGGCAAGGATTGTTACTTAACAGTCTTATGATCTGCAATGATCTGTGAGCTCTTTAACAAGCTGCATAAAATGTCAGGCCCTGACTTTATTAAACTTTGTGTTACGGGAAGAATCATCCGTTAATGACAACAGACAATTGAGTCACCATGTTCTTGCTAGTTGTAAGGGAGATGATAGGGCAATAAGAGATTATTACTTACTCTTTCTGACAAAACCCTGCACTTAAATCTGTCTGACAAAGATTTAAAGGTAAAAATCAAGTTGTAGCTTCTGCAGAGCACACCAGTAATTTAAGTAATTGAACAGAGAATAAAGCATTCATTTTATTTCATCCACACCAATACACCTAAACCATTCTAATCACTGCATCTTTACCTTTAAGGAAATTCCAATGCTTTCAGGATGTCTGAAACCCAATCAGCCAGGTAAGGCATTCCTCCACTTTATCTCCTAAGAACACCTGATCTGCTGCTCAAACCCCAGTGTCTACTGGAATCTCAACCTCCTCACTCAGCGTATCCCCACCCCCACCCCCCCAGGACTTCCCAACCCTGTCACCTGCCCAGGTGCCTTTCTGCTCACACGCTGGGAGCCCACGGAATTCAATACAATAGCCTAGTGGCTAAAGTCATCCCCTTGCACGCGCTGGGATCCTATATGAGCACCGGTTCATATCCTGGCTGCTCCACTTCCCATTCAGCTCCCTGCCTATGGCCTGGGAAAGCCTTGGGACCTGCATCCACATGGGAAGCTCGAGGAAGCTCCTGGATCCTGGCTTTGGGAACAGCTCAGCTCCCAGCTCCGGCCATCACAGCTGCTTGGGGAGTGAACCAGCGGATGGAGGATCTTCGTGTCTTTTTCTCCCTGTACACCTGCCTTTCCCCAAAAAATAAATAAATCTTTACAAAATAAACATTCTGTCCAGGGAATAAGTCACAAAAGAAAAGTTTTTTAAAACAAAAGATTCTAAACATCACGCTTAGCAGTGTTTTAGTCCGCAGCCACCAAGTAAGTGCTGAATGTTGGTTCTTGAAAAATTCGCTAAGGTGAAAATTCATACCCTCATCAAAACTTGCGGAACGGGAACTGTATCAAGTATACCGGCGACCGAGGGTCAAGGATCATACACCACTCCAGGCGGCCAAAACCCGACCCGGAACCACGTTCCTTTTTCCTGCCAATCCAATCTCGCCTACTTCCCATCAAACCAGTTCAAACAACGCCTGGTCCCAAGGGCTCCCGCATGCAGTAGTTGACTACATACAGCCCCTGATTCCCCACTGCCTGCCTGAGACTTCAGCAGAGCGCCCTGCACTTCTAAGAAATGCTGCCTGAAAGCGCGGGCAGGCTACAGTTCCAGTACCTCCCTGCCCCCAACTCCCTTGCTACCTTCGTGACCTTGGACAACTCGGCTCCTTCTCCCTCAAAATGTACAAATTCCGACTATCTCACACGGGTATGCCAAAGCACACACAGCCTTCTCAGATGGTATAAAAAAGAGAAGCAAATCCGGGGACCTGATAGGCGTTCCACCACGCTCAGTTCCCTCCTTTGCACGTCAGGGCCGCGGGCACCGGCCGAAGCCGGGGAGGACGTCCCCGGCACACCTGCCCTCCCAGCCCCAGGGACACACACCCGCGCCAGGCCTCACCTTGGTGGTCGTAGACGCTGATGTAGGAGATGCCCACGGCCATGCACCACACCACGAGGCTCGCGATGTCCGTGAAGCTGGGCTCCTGTTCCTCCTCGGTGACCACCAAGCCCATGTGCACCGGCAGCTTGTCCAGGGCCCGGCCGTCGGCGCGCCAGCGCAGCCGGGGGTGGGCGGCGGCCGGACGCGGCGTCCCGCGCGGGGCCCGCAGGTGCCGGCGCTGTCTGCCGCCGGCGGGGCGCTTGCGGAGCGTGAAGCCGAGCGGCGCTAGGACCGCGGCGGTGGCGGCGCGACAGCAGCGCCGCCAGATCCAGTGCCAGGTGCCGAAGCGAACGCGGAGCCAGGACGCGAGCGTGCGGTGCAGGCAGAGCAGCGCGTGCAGCACCCGCCACACCAGCTCGTACAGCCCCGTCATACTCCTGCGGCGCTCGGGCCCCTTCCCCTCCCTCCCGCCCGCACCCGCGGCGCCACGGCGTCTTATCCGTCCCGGCGACCGGCGCGGGCCATCGCTGCGCGTCCCCCCACCCCCGAGCCCGGACCCCTCTCCGCTGCCAACACCTCACCTCGCCCCCGCCGCCATCTTCCTCCTCCCGCGGCAGCCCCGCTCCCACGAGTACATGGACGGTTGTGATTGGCTGGCGTGGAACACTGACGCGGCCTTTGGGTCCGAGGATGTGGCCTAGCCAGGCGTGGCGCCTGCCAGCTGGTTAGGCGGGAGCCTTGTGCGCCCCCTAGTTGTGTGGAGGACGAGGAGCCGACGCCCTCGCTAGAACCCGGGCGAGTCACTGGATGGCTGCAAGGCATGAATGGGCAGCATCAAACACTTAGGCATCTTATGCTTTCCGGGCTTGTTTGTTTGTTTGTTTGAAAGAGTGGTAGAAGGGGATGTAGAGAGAGAACAGGTCCATATGCTCATGAATTTCCCCTTTCACCTTCCCCATTCCTACTCTCCCTCACTGTTTTCTCCTAAATTGTTGCAATATTCCTTCAGCAGGAGTCACAAGTGGGGTGGGGATTTCTTCTACTGCTGGCCGCTCCTCTCAAGAGCCTGAAAGAAATGGCTTCCAAGGACGAAAAGCGAGCGTTGGAAGTTACCGACACTCGGGGGTGGAAAGCAGTCCTCAGCAAGTGTTAATGCTACATGTCTAATAGAAGGCATAGAAAGCGTCTCCAAAGCTGGAGCGGACCTCTTAGGAGAGGTTCTACCCTATTGTTTGATCAGCTTCCCAGCTGCGGCCCGTTTCTCCCACAGTGGGAATGAGTATCTTCAGCCATGTTCCTGAGCCGTGCCTCCACCGCCATCACCCCTTTCTAAACAGCATCCTTACCTTTCTGTCCGTTGCTGTGGGCACGCAGAGGCCATAGCCTGGCTGCCCAGTCGTCAGACGATTTTCTACTCTCGTTTAGCATACAGTTGGACACCAGCCAAAGGGTTTTTGTGTTTCTATTTCCTGGTTCCTCGATTCATGCGGTGTCTTCTGGCATCATAAACACAGAGCATATATATGTGTAGGTATTCTTACATGTTGGTGCAAATGCATAAACATAAAAATGGAATTTCCGTTGTATCTATGTAACTTTTGTCCTTGAAAACTCCCTTTTGCTGCTGGGAAAGGATGTTAACTTCTTGTCACATGCTTTCCGTTTTTAACACACACTTCCAATTGGTTTGCACAGCATGTCCAATTCGAAGTTTCTTGCCCTTGATATCCCTGCCCGGAGAAGAAAGGACTGGCCATCTATCTCTTCCGGTCTCTGCCCCTGCTGCTCTTGCTAGGATGTGATAGGCAGGCAGCTGGTTGAGCCTAAGTGAGCTGGAATCCTTGCAGCGCTTGTCACTCAAAAACACCTGCCCATCCCAGGTGCTCTTGTGTGTCCCATTCCACCGTTAGCAACATAAACTCTATGTGGAAGTGCCATAAAACTTCCAGGTGGCCTCACATGAGCCAAGGCACCAGCACATACCTCATAAAAAGAGGCCAAGAATTCAGAAGAGCCCACTCATGCTAGACATTTATTTCTCTGGGTGAGTATGGGTAGCCCATACTCACACACGAATGTACGTGTTGTCTCCCACTGTTACCTAAATGCTGTTCCTACCTCTGCACATTACAATGTCACTTGGAATTCTTATCTCTATTTGAGGCAAGAACCTGGAGTGAAAATTAACATGCTCATGCCCACATCAGGTGGTGAGGGGCAGAGAAGACCATGAATGGGAAATGGCTGGATCTAGGATGCTCTGCTAAGCAAGCTTCCTCTGCACCCTGTCCTTGACTGCTGCTGTACTCATGTCTTTGACCCAGTGCTTGCCACTGTTGACAAAGTTAAACCATCAATCCTGCATCCCTGGGACCAGCTGTCAGATCTGTGGGCATGAGCAGGAGCCTTCTGTACTTTGAATTGCAAATTTAAACAAAAAACGGTGTAGTCACATCCCCAACTAACAGCCCCATCCACATACAGATCCCAGCATCTCACCCAGCCCCCATTTTGTTTCTATCCTACAGTTGCCAGAGGCTGGTTACCAGGTTTCCTAATTTAAGAATTAAAGGGAAAAAAGGTGCTGAGGGCCGATTGTCCTTTTTTTTCTTTTTTTTTTTCTTTTTTTCTTTTTTTTTTTTTTTTTTTTTTTTGAGTTAAGGAGGAACTGGCTGACAGCCCAGGCTCTGTTCCAAATGCTTTTAGGAAAAAAAAAAAAAATGGTTTACCTTAATGAATCACTGTGCCCCAAGCTGGAAAACACCAGATGGGCTGTTTTAAGGATTCCCTCACTACAGAACAGAAGACTAAACCAATGAACAACCCATTCCTAAAATGACAGGACCAAGGTACCACCCATACATATTAAACTCTAAATGTAAATGGTTTAAGCTCAATCAAACGTCATAGATTAGTAGACTGGATTAAAAACAAAACCCAATGTTTATTGTCTGGAGGAGACACACTTTACCAACAAAAATCAGCAGAAAATATATCACATGGGTTTTGTTGTTTTTGGTTAGTTTCATCTCTTCAAAACACTTTCTTCTGATTAAATCATTCAGTGACTCGTAGATCATACAGTAGTATCATTTTCGTCAAGAAGGGTCTTGATTTTCAATTCTTCAGCTACACATTAGTCATTTAATAGCATGTTATTTAACTTCATGGTGTTGTTAATTTCTTTTTTCTCCCTGATGTTGATTTTGTTTTGTGGCTTTTCACTGAAGGGGATGTAAAGTAGCTGTGTAATGGAGTCTGTCATATCTAGTAACATGTTATTTAACTTCTGGCATTATAAATTTCTATTTTTCTTTCTACTGTTGATTTTGTATTATGATTTTTCATTTGAGGGGATATATGGTAGCTGTAAAAGGGAGACTAACATCCAGATGTGAGGATGCAGTGTGGTATGCATTTCTGCTTCCAGACAAAGATGGACTTACAATGAAACTGTTTACTATATCTTGACAATAGGATGCTGGACTCTCTGCCATTGTCCATGCCTGCAATGATGGACATATGAGTGAATATGAAGAACTATATGTTAGTAATGATATAGAGGACCTAGGTGGGGGAGGGGGAGGGAATTGGGGAGGGGATAAGGGAATATGGAACTGTATCATAAAATGATAGCAATAATAATAAAGGGCAATAAAAATATTTACAATAAAAAAGGATTCCCTCACTACAGTGCAGATGAGATACAAGCAAATGTTCAGAACTCACCCCAAAACAGTGCAGCACAGGAAGCTGTGAGCAAAGTCCTACCATTGCACACTTTGCATGCAGAATGCAGTGACTTCTGGTGGCTTGTCTGCATCAAGGAGGGAGACTTAATACTTTCTGTTTTCAGTCATACAGTTCAGGAAGGACAGGAAAACTTCACTGAGCGTGTTGCTTTGCATGTACATTCAATCCAAAATTTACAGAGTTCTCACTCATAAATGTTTATTTTATCATATCAAAAAAGAAATAAATGTAGCACTTCTGGTAGAATTTTGGAATCTGAAGTTCATATTTCTTAATTTTGCCAGAGACAGAAACATGTAGAATTAAGCAACCTCAGAAAGATGCCGAGTCCCAAACAGTATGGGAACAATATTTTAAGTCATAAAATGTTTTAGATGACCTTCACTTTTCACATCTAACATATGAACTAGATTGACTAACTGGAAGCCTTGATTTAATGGAGACGAAAATTATTTCGGGATTAGCATATGTTTAAGAACAAAGAATAAGGAATGGATCACGACTCAGCGGACTCGGTTCAATATGGCTTCTTTCCCTTTCCTGTAGTCAGTGCTCAAATGGAGATAGTGGTATGATGACAGTTGATGTGGGCATATGGGCATATTAAGTTTTATTCCAGATTTTGAACCACACAAAGATAAGAATTCTCTCTTTTGAAGATTTATTTATTTGAAAGGCAGAGTTACAGAGAAAAGGAGAGAAAGATCTTTCATCCACTGATTCACTCCACAAGTGGCTACCGCAGGGAGCTAAAACCAGAAGACTTGAGCTTCTTTTGGGTCTTTAAGTGGAGCAACTAGAACTAGAACTGGCACCCATGTGGGATGATGGTGCTACAGGTGGCAGCTTAACCCATCGCACCGCAGCTCTGACCCCCCAGAGAGATAAGAAATCTAAGCAAAAACATCATTGGAACAGGATACATGATGTCATGATATTCCTGGCTTCATAGGATTATCATAAGGATTGAGGCAGTAATGTCCATGAAGTGTTTAATGCATTGTTTCTTCAGTAGTGAGTGCTTAGTAATTGCATCTACAGCAGAATCAAGAAGCAAAAATAACAGAAAGACTGACAAAAATGTTGACTTAAACAAGTTTTGGTTTCCAGCGAGTCAGAGTTTAAGAAAAAAGAGAACTAAGCATATGAAATGTAAATGAGGACTCTTTAGCATTTACTTTTCTTGCACGTGCAAGTCCCCCCAAAAAGAGAGTGCAAATTTTGACTAGCATTTGTAATATTGTCATTGAAGAGGAAAGCTTATCTTGAAGCACACACACAAAGAAAAAGGCTTGTAAGCACTTGGAAATATAGCATGCTGACATTTTTCATAAAATTTCTGAAGAGAAAAAGTTGTCTAGTATAGGGTGTTCCCATAGATTTCACCTGTGCCTCATTACCTGCATGTTGAGCACAGTGGTACATTGATTTCAGTCAATGAACTCACAGCTTCATCGTTGTGTCTCATAAGTCCATATATTGCATTACAATTCACTCCTAGTCCACCCCAAAAGAACTGAACATGTGAGGAATTTGTGTCAGTGTAGTCTTTTTTATTCAATCATTGAATTAAACTGTGATATCTGGAAAAAAGTTTTTAAGATCATGAAACCAAAAGCCAGAAGCAGATAAATCAGGACTCCCAGGAGCATAGTGGTTATACAAAATTCTCACAAAAGTGAGCTTACATGATGAGAAGAATGAGCAGGAGGATTGGGATCTAAAAGTCTTACCTTTTTCGTGAGACATTCTCTAGCATTTTTTTCTGCTAAAACTTTGGGTGACAGAATAGGTTGTTCTTTGGTTCTCCAGAAAGTCAGCATGCAAGACGCCTTGCATATCCCAAGGAGGCTGTGCCCATGACCTTTGCCCTACACTAGTCCTTTGCTGT